ATGAACTGTGATCTAGCATCACCTGAGTCCTTGTGTCACTGACTGCTCTGTGTGCGGATCCTGGCAGAACATGTAATGTTCTCAGTTCCTTCAGGTTTGCTAGCATGTTCAACAGAGACTTCAGAGTGGGAGTATATAGCAAAGGAACAAGCTTGATACATTGCAGCAGAACGATTCCATGTATTTCCTAACTGTTACTGTGCCTTGTTGCTCCTTCTCCAAAGTTTCCATAGCAAAGTGAGACTCCTAAAGTGGTCTCCCAAGTGAGGCAGTAACTGCAGTGACTGGTTTGTTTCCTTGAAGATGGCTCTTCTCAAATGCTGAGTGTAATTGGCTTCACAGGAGATGAGAGATAAGAGCGGCGTGAGGTAAAACTGCCAGGAAGTTCCCACCACCTTGTTTGTCTGTTTGATGCTTTTTTTTTGTTTTACATCTCTTTGGGAAACTTAAGAGACAAAGTGACATTTATGAAACCAAATGCAGATCATTCTCTTTGTTTAGTTTCTTTTTTTTTTTTTTCAGGGAGGTTTTATATAGAAGAATCATTCATAGCATTTTACTGAACATTCTACCTTTGCATCTTTGATCTTCAAGGCCTGGGAAAGAATAAACATTAAGTGACAGCAAAACTGAGGAGGAGAAGGTCAGAAATGGTGGTAGATAACCCCCATACTGTGTGGAGGGTGTTCATTGTGCAGCTGTTCTGATGCCAGCTCCTCTGGCTCCTTGGCTCCTCTGTGCAAGTTTCCTTGCCTTCTGCGTTGCATCCTATAGTTGTCTGCCTGGTGGCTGGCCTTATTTTTTTTTGTTCAATTATAACTATGCACACACACATATATTTAATTAGATGAATTAAGCTTTCTTAGTGTCCTTGTTAGATCCGTTTTGCTTTTCTTTGAGGTTTTCCACCTTTCCACGTTGCCTGAAGCTCAATGGATGGGTTGTGCTGTCTACTCTTGTGATGTTTTGCATTGCAGAATCCTTTTACTCTTAGGACTCACATGTGTTTAATGCTGTTAATAAAGCAGGTGATTGTAATGATAGCACAGGAAAAGAGAGAGCCTACAGCCAGCCAGCTTCACTGGTGCTGGCTCTGACTGCGCCCCATGAGGTTTTGAGGAACAGTTTGAATTGCAACAGCAGTCACTGGTCAGTGGTTGAAGTTATTGATTATTGACTTAATCAGCTTGCTCCTAGAGACTGAAGAGATCCTGGCTTCTTAATAGCACTCACCCATTGAAAGGAGTTTCTCTTCTGCGTCCTTCTTGAGGAGTTTTAATTCCTTCTAATACAGGCAAGACCACAAGTTCACACTTGCAAGCCAAGTACTCTTACTAAATAAGGTGTCTTCTATCTGCAGGTGATGCCTACTTGAGGGACTAGAGGAGCCAATTGCGTGTCCATCTGCACTAGATTTCTGCTGTACAGATTATGGCAGGTGTTACTGATTCAGCAGGTGTTTATTTTAGTACTGAAAGGAAAAACAAGTTTGTAGATAGCTTAAGTTTAGGTTTGCAATTGTAGCTGATGAGTTTCCTTCTTCCCCTTCCTTTTCCCTGGCTTTTTAGATTCAGCATTTGTTTTAAAAGTAGGGAGAGTATATCTTAGTTTGTAAAAGCAAAGTGAAGGTACTCTCTATTGTGTAAAAGAAACAAACAAACAACAAACACAGAAAAGAACAAGTGCTGTAGGCACCTAGCAGCATCACTGCCCTAAGTAGTGCTACACAGCTTTTGTTCCAAGAACAGCTCTTAGTGTTGGCCTCTGGGATGTGGCAAGGCAAGGTAGGGGTATGTATTGGCTGTATGTTTTATGAAGGCTGGAAGAAATGTAGGCTTTATCAACCTGTGGCAAGCTTTTAGGGATCTTGATGTAAAGCAACTCCTAGGCCTTCCCATAGGCTTCAAGACTTTGAGGAACTGATGTGGAGACTTTAAGCAACTCGCAGTGTTGCAAAGGATGATTTTATTTACTTTTGTAAAGTTTCCATGTTGAGTATATTAAAGGAAATAGAGGAAGTCCCTAATGTGTTTTGCAGAATGGTCTTTCTGTATAAAACTAGAAATCTGTATAATTATTAAAATATATGAAAAAATATAAAAAAATATCACGGTGATAAGAGATGAATAGAAATGTGTGTGGCTGGAGAGCATGCAGAATTTAAGTTGGAAGTTCTTGAGAGATTACTTTAACTTCATTGAAAGCAGTGTTCCACCAGAGCAGGTGAGAAGATATGGAAGCTTCCAAAGCAGAAGGGAAACTTGGCCCATGTCGAGGTACCTCTTGAGAGCAAAGTGACTGCACAGCAAATACACGATTTAGAAAAGATGTTGGAAATGTGTCCCCCACTCCAAATGTGCAAATTGAGTTAAAAATGTTGCTTTCTGTTTACATCATTGGTAAGTGCCATTGCTGGCCCATGCCTCCTGCAGTGAGTAACTGTGCTGATGTTCCTCTCAGTGTGGTTGGATTTCTCAGGTTTTCTGGGATGCTGCTAAGTTACTTTTAAATGGTAGGTCCTAGAAGGAGAGCAGGGAAGGACGAATGGCATTTCTTATTTTTAGAATAACTTTGAGTGGGAAGCTCCAAAGCCCCATTTTGATGGAAAAAACTGATTGGAAAGATCAGGATTTCCGACACTGTCAAACTGCTTTCCTGTTTTATCCAATTGTCTTCATTAATACTTGCCATAGGACGGGTTAGGTCATAAATCCTTGAGATTTTTCATAACATCCTGTGCCAGGCTGCTGGTTACTGGCAGTGCCCAGCAGCTGTGCTTACCATGCAGGCAGGCTGAGCTACGCTCCCAGGCTGCACGCAGCAGAGGCAGAAATGGCTTTAGCTCACCTTGGGCTTGCATCTCTCCTTGATAAGAGGGTGCAGTGCTTCATCAAGTAGTGGACCTTATGCCAGCCATCTTTTGGCCCAGATTGTATTTCTGAAGATTGTCTTTTTTTTTTTAAATTTTTTTTCTTGGATATCAGCACAAAATAGAGATGTAAATTGCAGAGAGTGGGCAACAACAGAGACAATAGGCAGGCTTGGCAGATGACAGAAAGATTGGGATTTTTAAAATTGTTGTTTGTAAAAAGCTTCCTAAGGTACTGCTTCCTTCTCATCAGCTGCACAGTTAGAGCAGCTTGCTGTTGGCTGTTAATCCATTGCTTCAGATGATGGATCTGAAAGCTCCCGCTCAGCTGCTGGTTTATGTGGGCTTTGACATTTTGCTTGGGGCAAACCTCTATTAAAATAACATTGAGTGCACTAAGTGGATGCATCAAAAGTCAGCTAAGGCCAATAGTATTATTTCTCATATGACTTGCTTTCATTTGTGCTCCGTTAGGACAGGGATGATGAACAGCAGTGAGGACTTGCATAAGAATACTAACGGTCACTTGATTAAAAAGTGGCCGTTAAATGCAGTGTAGGGGAATGGAAAGTGATAGATAGGTGGACTGCTGTTGTGCTGTGTGATCAGAAGTGAGCTGTGAGCAGCTGCTGCAGCCCAGGAGCAAAGGCTTGGGGCTGTGGTTCAATTCCCCACAGGCATCAGCTCCGTCCTCAGAGGTCAAAAGAGCAAATGACATGTTGGGAGGAAGTAAAGGAGCTGAGGATGGGAGATGGCACGTGGTGAGGCCGTGTAGATGTGTGACTTTTCCTTGGATAGCACATTGATCTCACTTGGTCTTTCTAGGAGATTACAGGTTAAGGAATGTTGCGGGAGAGCTGCAGAGGTGATCAGAAGCATGAAACTGCTGCTTCTCCTTAAAGTATGTTGGGTTATTAAGGCTGTTTCCTGACGCAGGAGTGCCAGCTAACTAACGGGAGGTAATTTCAAAATGGGAAAGTCCTCCATTTAACAATGTGGAGTCAATCAGAGGAAGATCTTGTGGCTGTGGGTGCTGATAGGCTGAGGGGAATGCAGAAGCCAAAGGCACGCATCCTGCTAGATAGCAAAAGAGACAGGGAACCTCAGCGCTGCTCTGAGCTGGTATCCATGATGGTGTCAATCTTCTGGAAATAGGCTCAGAGCCTCGGAGAGTATGAAAATAGTTAAAAATTGAAAGTTAGGGCTTGGAAGCGTCAGTGATTGCAATCTTAAAACATGATAACAGGATATTTTTTGTCCTTCTCTTTTGTATCATTATCATGGAACTGTCAAGCACTGGAAGATGTGTAGTGGAGGAAAAAAAACCAACCCAAAACCCAGACTTGTGAAGAGAATTTATGTTACGGTTTTTATGGTTGTTATAGTTACTCTAAGTGCTTTGTTGGAGAGCTAGTGTGGATCTCTTGTCACCCACAGATAAATGATGCTGAGCAAACACTTAACTTCTGCACCCTAATTTTGTTCTTTATTTTCTGTCTGTTCAACCAATGTCACAGTTTGCATTAATACTCAGAAGTGAACTGATGCTCTTCAGTAAATGTGGAAATTTTATAGAAATACAAAACCCTCAGAGATATTTACGGTGATGATGGCTTTGGTCTTTGTACCTTTTTCACTCTTAAAAAATAATATGTGATAGCATGGTGAAGTGGGGTTATGTGTTGTGGTGTGCACCTATGAAGAAAACAAATGCCCTTGAGTCTGTTGTGGGTTCACATAGCATCTGATAATTGAAAGCACATTGCACAACTAGAATAAAGAGGACTATTGAATAACTGCTTGTATTGGAAAATGGTGTGAAGGTTGTTTAGCTCACTGCTGTGAGATGAAGCCGTCTCTTTAAAACAGACCAAATCACTGTTTTATGAAGCACTGTGCACTAAGCATACGAGATTAAAAGAGTAGCGAGGAACTTTGTTGATCAAATGTAAGTAACTTTTTCTTTTTCTTTCTCTCTTCACAATACCTGCTCCTCTTCCTCGATTGCTGCTGTACCTGCATGGGCTCCTTGCTGCAATGGCTCAAATTCATTCTTCCACCGATCTACTGTTGGATGTGTTCTATCAATGTCTTCAACACTGGAAATGATGGAAATGCGTTGTTCACAAAGTAGCTGTAAGTATTACTTTGGTAAAGACACATTACAACTTTTGTGAAACACAGTAAATGGCTTTAGTAAGTGAATTGAACTGAGCTGGGTGAAAGTCAGGAAGGGATGAAAGCTAAGGAGACCCCTCTGGTAAGTGTTGGAGACATGAAGTGTTGCCCTGCACGGTGATCCATGCTGTGGGATGTAATGCTTCAACAACCACAGCAAAAGTAATAATTTATTTTAAAAGTTGTTGGAGGAGCTTAAGAAACTTGATTCCTCCTATTTTTTGCTGTTTTTAGAAGTAGAAGGTGTATGAACAAATCAGATCTTTTCCAAGTCAGTACAGTGAAAGTGCCAATTTTAGTTGATGTTGGCTTTCCAGAAACTGGAATTTGACAACTGATTTTGGTTTTTACAAAGGCTCTTTCCTGTTGATGGAATATAAGTCCTTGAGTCAAACATGGCATTCAGATTTGACACTTCATACATCCTTTTGTTTAGTGACATCTCCATTTTGTTTGAATTAAAACAGATTGTGAATGTAAACATTATACATCAGCTTAACAGAGCAAACAAGCTGAAAGTTGCTGTCTAGTCTTGTTTGGCATTTCATTTTCAGATTTCTTAAAGTTCTTAGCAGTAATACCATTCCAATTGTGCAACTCTTTGTAAAGGAGAAGGAAAGGAAATAAGAATAATGTAATCAAAGCAAAAGTTATTTCTTTTGCTTAAGAACAGTTTCTGGTAAGAATGGCTTACATTAAAATGTATGTGCAAATTGAGAAGCAGAACTGTAAGGAGTGTCTGAATATGATTAGGTATTTTATGTCCTGTGGGATAAATAGCAGTTACATATATTTAATAGTTGTTAAGGACCTGCCCTGTTGAGGAACTTTTTCATAACTTAAAGAACATCCTACTGAGTGAGAGTTACTGTCTCTGAAGCATTGGCTCATGTTTAGCTTGTTGGAGTGTAGCTGATTATATTTCTCATGTGTTGTAGTGATTAGAAAAGTCAAACAGTCTTTGAATTAATAATAAAAAAAAAAAGTAAAGAACTCAAATCTTCTAAAACTTTTCAGATGAGCCTTGAGACTGAAATGAAACAAAAAGCAGAATAGAATTTCTTAGAATTTCTTGATGACAAAAGGCAAAAATCACACATTTGGAGTACAAACATCTGTTTCTGTGTGTGTTTGAACTTGAAGCTACAATACCTAGCTTTAGCAGGCTGTCATTAAATATTCCTCTCCTATTCTGTGTGAATTAATTAAAAGATGCTGCCTTTTTAAAAATGGGAAGGCAATTAATGGATTGTATTATCACTAAATGAGAACTGATAAGCATTAATATTAGGATTAAATCTTTCTTTCCTAAGCAGTTCTGCTAAATTCAGCCTCTTTGGATTTACTTACACTGGTGCCATCACTGAGTTTGTGTTACAGTGATGTGGCATTCGTGGGGAGTAGTGATTTCTCTGCTGAATGGAGGTAGCAGTTATGTCAGTTTAAACTGACAGTTTAAGTAAAATTAATTAATTGACTAGTGCCTTGGGATTGCAAATAAGCTAGTTCTTAGGGCATTGTGTGCATTGAAAAAGGATAGCATTTTTCTATACCTGCAAGGAATGCTTGCTTTAATTAAAAAACATTTCCTTTTGAAGTGTAGGACTTACTGCTGTGAACATGTTGGTTTTTTTCCTGTTTATTTCAATATTTAGAAAAAGCATCCAAACAAACACAAATTGTTTGTAGAATTTAATGTAGAATTTAAATCAACCAGACTCCATGCCATACAGTCAAGGTCTAAGGCAGTAGTGCCTGTAGTAGAACAGATTTGTGTGTGGGTTTTCATAGAATCTCCGTCCTATTGAAGTTTGTCTTGGAGAGGGGAATTCAAATTGGCACACAGTGCTTCAACTCTGGATGCTTGTAACTCTTAAACTGTGAAAGAACTCTTAAACTGTGCAACATCAAGTCATGTTCTGTCATCTTTGGTTGGACATAATCTACTGTTTTAAAGCCACTGTTCCATATAAAACAGTATCTGGTGTTGCTTTCAGTAGAAAAAGTGCCAAAAGTTTTTTTGCCTTTTCTGTAAAAGAGAGCTAAACTGTTGTGTCTCATAAGAAGATCCTCAGACCAGTTTCATCATCAAACGCATTTCTAGGATTCTGCTAGAAGAATGGTTTGAAAGTAACATGGCTGATGTCTGCAGGATTACCAGCTCTAGGACAGTGAGGGAGCAGTATTTTAAATACCTCCAACATTTTCATTTTTGTGGTGAGAAAGAATAATGGCTAGCATCCAAAATTCTCATCTCTTTTCGTAGTAGGGCAATATTATGAATGAGTTTTTCACAGTAAAGGGCAACTGAAGTTTTACATTTGTGAAGGGTTGTTGTAACGTGCGCTGCATTTGCAAACACTGGGCATAGATTGACCACAAAGGGATGTGTGATGCAGAACAGGAGTGCATCAAATTAGTCCAGAAATATTAGGGCAGTACCACCAAGACTCACAAGAATACGCTCCTACAACTTGCCTGTGTTTTAAATGAGTTTTGGAACAAAGTTTTTAATGTTTGTACTTGCACACTGTTGTGCTTGCACAGTCACAGTGCTAACACAGCTTGCTTTCTGTGCAAGACTGCTGGGTATTGGTGCAGTACACTGCAGTGTCTTTGTATGCAGGTCAGGATGTTGAGAGGTAGATAGGCATCGCCTCTTGGGGTTCTAAGAAAAAACAATCCCACTAAGTAGTTGAGAGCTTCTTAAACTTGTGAATGTCTCTTGTCTTAGCAACAGAAGAACCTTGAAGGATATGTGGGGTTTGCAAATCTTCCAAATCAAGTTTACCGGAAGTCTGTGAAGAGAGGATTTGAGTTCACGCTCATGGTAGTAGGTAAGTTTCTTATTCACTGAGTAGGAATTGCTGGATATTGACATAGTTCTAACACATTATCACGTTGAGTTTTATTTTGCATGGTCTTTGAGAAAACAAGCATCTTTGTCTTCTTGACTGTTAGATCTAGAGTGTTTGGAAAGAACATGTCTTATGCAGGTAGATAAGGAAGAGAACAAAGAACAAGAACTCTGCAGTTTATGCAATTAAAAAAAAAAAAAGCTGATGTGGGTCTTGTCCAAAAGATGACTTGCAAGTATCACAGAATAGAAGGGATTTGAGCTCACATTTTCATCTGAATAAAAATGGAACTGCTTTTACAACCCTGAATGCAGCATGAGAATCTGGAATCCCAGCACAGAATTAGGTCCTGCCGTTTGACCATATCCAATGCATTCTACATTTCTGTGGCCACAAAACTGTGGTACAAAATCCAAGCTTTAATTTAAACAAACCTTTCTAGTTTGTATGGTTGCAATGAAAACCAAATGTAAACAGTGGGTTCCCTATGGACTACAGGCAATTTGAAACTGTAGTTGGTATGGATGAAAAATGGACATAATAGTTCATTTAGGTGGCAGTGATCATCCCCGTTGTTATCTGCTTTGATAGGACATCTGATTTCCCTTTTATTCTCATTTGAGTATTAGTATGGTAGTAGATCGTGATTACAGTTTGGTACTGAAGCATATGTACTGGTTATGTAATTCCATTTTGTCATGCTAATGGTCAAAACAACACAAAATAATTTTGTAATAGCCATCTGTCTCTTTCTTGATGCCTGCCTTTGTCTTTGGTAATTTGGATAGCTTTAATGCTTTGTTTTGTCATCAATACAATGGACATGCTGTGCAGTATTCATGTACATGTTACATAAAAGTACTGTTGACTAAGTTAGAAACCAAGGTCAAATTGGTGAATACTTGTAGTTCAGTTATTTTCTATTGATTACAAAGTGAACGTTATAAAATTTGAGGGTTTTTTTTTTTTTTTTTTGAATTATTTTGGAACTAGAAGTCCCTTTGTAATCTAGCATCCAATTACAGAATTCATTTCTTACAGAAATCTACTGTTTTGAATAAAATATGGTTTTCTGCTCTTGATGAATGGGAAGGAAAAGCTCAATGACACAAGGACTGGAGGACTTAAACTGTCCTCAAGTTTAAGCCAAAATGGGCTACAGTTTGCTCTTCATTGTTTCAATCTTGCAAGAATCAAGTCACTTAAAGCACAAATAATGACATATATTAGAACTACAGGAAGTGAGTGAATTTAAATTTGTGGTCTTACTTTTGTCGGTAGTTTAGTCTAATGCAGTTGCATTTAGGGAAACTGTAGAAAATGTCTTTTGAGAAGAAGAGTTGATGGAAAAGATGATCTTGACTAGAAAATTTTGTTACTACTTCTATGTTTAGCACTGTTTTTGTGTATAGTGTTAAAACTTAATTTCATTTGTGAACAAATCTGTTCCATTTTCTGCATGCTTACTCAGGGAATCGTCAGTAGGTTTCTAAATTTGAGTGTTGATTTTTACCATACCTGAAGTACAGAAGGTTTGTGTGTGGATGTGAGTGTTGGAACCATGATCCACACATGATCTCTTCATACTAGTAGCTTATGTGTGTGTGAGGGAGTATTTTTGGGTGGCAAATTTCAGGGTAACTCATCTGGTGCTGAAAAGATGCATCCATTTTAACTATAAGCATAGTTTGCATTTTACTGAATACTTGCTTATAAATGTTGAACTCTAACGTGCAATTTAATTCAAGTAATTAACTATTGCTGTGTTCATGCTTTGAGGTACTGTAAGCTAATGTGGGTTTGCAGTCTTTAGCTGCCAGTGGGATAAAATTTACTAATAGTTAATGGAATGTCCTGTAGTCTGCATATTTGGATTTCAAGGTTTTAGCACTATGTTCTGTTCTGTATATGGTTGGTGCTGATTAGCTAAGATCTGCATCATCTCTTCTTGAAAATCTGAAATACTCTCCTGCTCTTTTCTGCTGCCAGGTGTCATGTCTGCATTGCTGCCTCTTGCTGTAGATTGAACAAATCTGCTGCTTCTGCTTTATTTATAGGTACTTCAGTGTCAGTAAGTTAGCTGTTCTGAAGTGAAAAATCAGTTTGGTAAACAGATCCAAGGAGGAGCTCGTTTGGGATCTGCCATCTCTGTATCCAGCTGTTTCCAGGTGTTTGGGAGGCTTTAATGTGCATTTCCATAGATGCTGATAGTTGTTCATTTAGTCTGGGATTGTCAAAACAGCTTACAGGATTTATACAGCATGACACATGGCTTCTTTGTCTTGAAATGTGCTCTATAAAATGCCACTGGTGTTCTGGAGGGACTTGTCAGTATAGTCAGTTGTACAGTTACACTGTTGTAGAAACACTTCAGTTTTCAGTTTTCCTCTGAAAATGTATTAAATACAGTGTCCAACAAATCCAAACTTCTTGTTCCAATAAGAAATTTGTCAGGGAGGTCAGTTTTACAGCTTCTGTCCAGGGTGTCAAATGTGACTGTATCCCTAACGTGTGCAGTGAAGTCACCTTGCTTCCTGTATTCGTGCTGGGCAGTGATGTTGGAGAATTTGAAAACACTGAGCATGAGGCCCAGTGGTTGCTGAAGAACCTGGCATATGTTTTCTGGAGTGGATTCAGGATGTGAATGCTCCTTGTTGAAGCTGTTGGAAGGTGCTTGTGGGCATAGCTTTGGGAAGGGCTCCATTTCAGCCACGTGGGGCAGCATGCTGTCCTGTGGTTTGGTCCAAGCCTAGATTTGGTGCAGTGAGCTTATTTCTAGTGAAGTATTTTCTGGAAGCGTAGTTGCTAATTCTCAAGCGTTCCGGTGTTTGCATTAAATGCAACTAAAAGGTGATGTGTTTATGAAGTACTTATGAACAGCTGATGTAAAAAAATGTTTCACGTTTGATGTTTTAAGTATCATTGAAAAGTTAACTTTGCAGAGTAATTCCAATTCCTGTTACAATTTGGCCATTATAAGCATTTCAGTTTTTCAGCCTCATTAACTATAGTCGTGTTTTCTCTAAATTCAGTTGTTTCTTTTGGTAGTGTTTCTAAAATTTTCTTAAGAAATGGAAGGCTGAAATATAGCCCTTCTTATTCCTATGTGATCACAGAATGGCCAGGGTTGGAAGGACCTCAAGGATCATGAATCTCCAACCCCCTGCCACATGCAGGGCCACCAACCTCCCCGTTTAATACCAGCCCAGGCTGCCCAGGGCCCCATCCAACCTGGCCTTGAACACCTCCAGGGATGGAGCATCCACAGCCTCTCTGGGCAGCTGTTCCAGCACCTCACCACTCTCATAGTAAAGAACTTCCCCCTGACATCCAACCTCGATCTTTCCTCCCTCAACTTCAAACCATTTCCCCTTGTCCTGTTCTTATCTTTCCTTTCAAAGAGTTGATTCCCCTCAAAAGCCTACAAACTGGGCTTACAAACAGGCTGATGGGTTGTGATTTGGACGTTGTTTTGTTTAGTGGTCTCACAAAGCTTTTAATCCCTAATAGATGTATTCTAAAAGGCTGATCAGCATTTCAAGTGAAATAATGCTATTTCTGACATTTCTATTTGTAGAATGGATACTAAGAACCTTTTCTGAGGATAGGATGTCAAGCAGGCAGAAATGGGCACTGAAGGTTTAAACCCTGATGCTTTCAAAAGAAGACATTCAAATGATTTTATAAAGCAGCTAATTCTACATCTTGCATATTGAAATCTCACCAGCGGAAGATTTGTCAACTTAGTCTCTGCAGGCTCTTTTCTAGATAACCCCATATTATCTCATCAAGTGTAGATAGTTGTTGAAATGTTTGAGGGTCCACGATAAATACATGGTCTGTATGGAATCAAGTCTGCAGTCTCTATTTTTCTACTTTTTTTTTTTTTTCCTTATGAAGGAAATTACCTGCCAATGTCAAACTCACAGGAAGACTTCCAGAAGTAACACAACAGTAGTTTGTAGTTCACAGTTGAAGAAAATCTCGACTATGAATTTGTGTTTTTTTGCTTACTGATATAATTACAGGTATTTAAGTATCAGGTGTGTTTTGTTTTTTTTATTTGTTTGATTTTGTTTCAGTGTAGTGAGAGCTGTGGAACAAATAGTTCCTTTTTGCTCTCTTTCTTCAAAGGCCTGCATCAGGAAATGCCTCTTCAGTTGCTCTTGTACAGAAATGATGCTGGTAACAAGTGATTTGAACTGAAGATACCAAGTCATAATTTATTCTAGAATTCTTTTTACCTATAGTCTTTTTACCTATAGTATAGAAAAATTCTTACCTGATCTGCAGTGTGTGCAGAACCCCCTACAGGCAAGTGACTTTGCAGAGGACCTTTCTACTCAGTTCCTATTTCTAGACCAGCTGTTTGGTAGTTTTGACTCTGAAGGCAGTTTTGAATCCTTTCCTGTAGCAAATTGACTGTTTTGTTTTCTAATTGTTGCTTTAGTCTTGTAGATCACCTGTGGATTACAACTTAAAGGAAAATATCATACAGTACTGTGATGGTGTTTTGTTTGTAATTACATGCAAGCTTTAAAATGTTTTGGTTTAAACATTGCTTTTTTGGCTTAGACAGAAGTGGAAAGGCTGTATTTTGCAGGACTTGAAGTTACTTTTGAGAAAAATGCCTTTACTGGTCCCTGAAGAAGACTTTGATTGGTATAATAGTAGTATTTTTCTGATGATGGATTGTGTCCTGATTGGAATCACCCTTCTGTTCACTATCTGGTTTTGTAAGACCAGCAAGTGTACCAGCTGCTTGAGATGCTCATGTGTACTTGTTCTTTGCCAGTGCGATGCCCTTCCTTCCCAACTGTGCCTCATAGGTGGGATAGAAGCCATTCAGTAAAGGATAGGAAGAACAGTTAAGTGCAAAATAACACATGGATTGACAGTGCCCCTCTGGAGAATGTTCCCATTTGTCATTGATCTGCCATGTGTTTAGAAATATTCTTCAGTAAGATTTATATTGTTTT